CCTTTTTCTTTTTCCTCCTCACCTCTTTTCCTCACTGTCTTTTATTTACTTGTATTGTATATGTCAAGGAAGAACTGTGAAGGGCTGGCCAGATTGCTCAGGGGACTAAAGCACCTGCTTAGGAGGCACAGGGGCTGGGGTTCGATCCCTGGTGTGCTGTGCCAGCCCTGCCCCTGGAGCATGCTGAGATGACAAATGAGACTGGGCGGTGGCGCCGTCCTGTAATCCCAGCACTTGGGAGGCTGAAAACAGGAGAATTACTATGAGTCCGATCTGTGTAGTGAGACCCTGTAGACTCTGTACTAAAAATACAAAAAAAATAAAATAAAAAATAAAAAAAAAATTCAACAGCTGAGTATTGTATTTAATTTGTCATATATCCACCAGCCCATAATTCCTAATGAGAATCCTTTGCTATTAGGATTCTGAGTTTTGCAGATTTAGTTAGGTTATATAATTTATACTGTGTTTGAAGGGGTTTGAAACAGGGTTTGAAGTGGCACACATTTGTTTGAGGAGATGTATGCGTGTTTGCAGTAGATTTGAGTTAAAAACTTTTTTTTTTGAGAAAAGTTTTCAATTAGCAATCATCACACCTTGGATAAACCTCATCAGCTATGATGCTGCCACTGTGCAAAGCTTGGTGGTTTTTTTGAGGCAGGGTCTGGGTTTTTTTTGAGTGAGTTGAACTAGACTTCAACTCACTATGTAGCCCAGGCTGGTCTCAAACTGACAGCAATCCTTTTGCCTCAGCCTCCTGAATGCTAGGGTTATAAGCCTGAGCCACCAAGCCTGGCCAGTTAAATAAAAACTTTAAATAGCTTTACATAAATTAAGGTCTAGTTTAGGTGTGGTGACACACATCTGTACCCTTAGCATTTGGGAGGCTGAGGCAGGAGGATTACTATGAGTTTGAGACCCTCCAGGGCTACATAGTAAGTTCAAGGCCAACCTGGACTACATCGTAAGATCCCATGTAAAGAAAAAAAAAAAAAGAGTTCAGGTCAGATTTTGCTATTAAGTTCAATGACTAGTTTAATGGAAAAAAAAAATCTTTTGGGGCCATGCATAGTGGCATGCATCGTAGTTAGAGCTGTTCCAGAGGCTGAGGCAAAATGATCACAGGAGTCCAGGAGTTTGAATCCAGCCTGAGCAACATCGTAAGACCTTATGGTGGTGGTGACACCTTGGTATTTATAGCTTTGTTTTTATGCTTGTGGATGAAGGACTATATTTTCTCTGTTTAGTTTTAGACTTTCTTCTAGTCTTGTTTTTTTGAAATAATCTTGCCATATAGTTTATAATTCAGGCTGGCCTTGAACTTGCTACAGAGTCCATCTGTCCTCAAACTTGTAGTGGTGCTCCTGCCTCAGCCTCCTGAGTGCTGGGATTACAGGTATGGGCCACTGTGCTGGGCTCTTTCAGTCTTCCTTAAGTTGTCCGATTTCCCCTCGAC